TAAAAAAAGCGTGATTAGTAGTGTACCTACCTCATACGATTGTCATGAGGAGTCCAAGAGTTAGTTCATGTGAAATACTCAGAATATTCCTTGGCACACAGTTAGTGATCAAGTAGGCATTGTTACTCTCCACTGTGTACCACTCAAGTCGACAAATATGTGCTCAATTGAAGTGTGGAGGTGTTCCTGGTTGTCAGTCTGCAAGGGATGAAAAGCAGCACAGTGGTAACTCCCACACATTTCAAGTCAGGATTTTAAAGAAATCGAAGTAGGCCAAGTGGGGAGGAATGAGAATGGGTCGTTTCTTTTTGCTTTGGTCTCGGGCAGTTTCTTCAAGTATACCTTGGTTCCCATAGAAAAGCGCCTGGTAATTGTTCTGTTGTGGGAAGAGTTTTTGAATTCATGATGCTCTTGTGGATAGATTCTTTTTGCCAAGCTTTTTGTTGCTCTAAGCATTTCCTGGAGCCACCCCAGCCTTAGGAGGGTTCTGACCTTGGGGAGGGGGGGATGCCAGGCGGAGTCTAAGGCACAAAATCCTTGCTATGCCTGGGGCAGATGGTTCCACACAGCAAACACTTCATTCATAAAAAAGCCAGAAACAAGTGGATTTCACCATGTAAGGCCTAACAAAAAGAAAAGTGAGCAGCCCTGTTTGAAATACAGTCCCGTCTTACTGCTACTCAATTTTGCAAATAGTAGAATGTAGGCGCAAATGAGAATTCCCAAAGTAATTACTGGGTAGATGTGGAGGGCTGAGCAATAAAACCCACAAGGGCCAGGCTCAAAGACCACATGTGTTTTCCAGTCTCTTGGAAGCTCTTGCATTTTGTTGTTGTCCTTAGCTTTCTGTTATCCCCAACTTCCTCCTGAAGTTATTGAAGAAATAGATATTTGTATGATTAGAATGAGGTCTAGCTAGCACTCATTTAAAGGCACATGGCTGTTTTTACACCCTACCAAGATTGATCAAAGAGGAAACTCTGTGGCACTTGGCACACAGGGGCTGAGAATATCTAGATCTGGAGTTGCAGAAGGCACTGGTCTGAGGGAACAAGAGACCTAAGTCTTAGTCTCTTTTGGGTGATTCAAGTGTCACTTTTCACCAATGTCTGATTCTTGGATTCCTCATCTCTAGGGTATCTCCAGGCTCTAGATCTAGGAATAGGCCATGTAGGAAACATCTGATTCTGTTGGGCATCTTTAAATACCACATCATGGCTAATTTTATGTATCAAGTTGGCTAGGCTATGTGCTCAATTATTTGACCAGACTTGTCTAGATGTTGCTGTGAAGGTATTTTGTAGATGTGGCTAATACTTAACAATCAGTTGACATTAAGGAAAACAGATTTCCCTCCATGATGTGGTGGGCATAGTCCAATCAGTTGAAGACCTTAGGAGCGAAGACTAAGGTTTACCGCAGGAGAAATTTTCTGCTCCAGACAGAATTTGCCTGAGTTGAAATCCTGTTCATCTGCTCTGATCTTTTACATGCAAACCTGCAACACTAGCTCCTGTTTGAATTTCTAGTCTGCTAGCCTGCCCTATGGATCTCAGACTAGCCAGTTCTCATCATCACGTGAGCCAGCTTTAAAAAATAAATCAATCTCTCTCTCTCTCTCTTTTTATTGCCTTTGCTGGAGCTATTTGCCTTGACTCACCTTACACTTGACCTCCTTACCTGACCGTCTCAGCTTCTGGCTTATCTGTACTTGCCACACCTTTCAGCTCTCCATTTCTAGTTCCGACCTGTAATTTTTCTCCTAGATGACAATGACTGAAACTTTCTTTTTGGCCCTGGCTCCTGTTTAAGTCCCCAAATAAAACTTCCTCTGATTTGTCTCCAAGGCTGAGACCTCACAGATAGATCCAGAAGGACCTGGATAGGTTTGCCTGAGCTCAGGTAGGTACAAGCACTGCTGTTTACTTGCTCAGGGCCTCCAGGGCTTCTGCCTTTTTGTGCTTCAGTGGCTGAAAGCAGTCTCGCTCGGCATGCTTCTGCCTAGAAACCGCATTATTTACACAGCGTTCCCGTGCTTTTATAAGGGGTTAAGAAACAGTTGGGCTCATTTCCATCTCCCGAGTGTTGTATTTCTTATTCATGTCTCAGGAGACATGTGGTTACAGGAGGACATGTTTGTTCATTCAAAGGAAGTGTGCCTAATCACCTTTTACTTATGCACAAGGGTGATTTTTGAAAGTAAGTATAGCACGCATGCATGTATGTGCGTGTGTGTGAAGTTATTGCACAGAAAATGTTTACAAAGCTCTTGAAAAATCCATGGAAGGAGGTTGCTTGGTCACTACCAAGAATTAGTAGATACACTGGCCTTGCTATTGTTGGCCCTTCTCTAGAAATCTCTTATAACAAGTGTTTGTCTTTATAAGGGCACCTATCAGGAAGTCTAGGAAATTTTAAAACTTCAATGCATTGCCTGTCTCTCAAAGTCTACAGGGTGTTATATATGGGCTCTCAGTCTGCAGTATGTTTAAGACATTTAGACATTTTCCTCTCCCCTGCACTCCAGTGGAATCAGGCCGAGCTTGTGTTATATAACACCACCGTCTCGCTCCATAATGAGCAACTTCTAAGGAGGAGGCAGCAGGGGGAACAAAGCTACCTGGCCTTTGCCAACCTCTCTGTGCTCTGCCAGTGCACCTGCAGAGAGCTTTGAGGGCTCGGCTGGGAAGAGAGACTGCTTATTATGTTTCATTGTGGGAGATGACACAGTGCCTTTCCAGGACAGGCTGAACTGAAAAAATCTTTGCCTTTGTCTCCTGGCCAGGTTTTATCCACGGTTTCCCAGGGCTTAGGGACCATCAAGCAGCTGCCTCCTAGAACCCCCGTCTTTCACTCTCAGCTCACATACTTCAAGAAATTTGATCAACTCAGATAGAGAAGTGAAATATTTGTTGGAAGCTCCCAGCCATCCGTGTATTGCAGGGTTACGTTCGGGAACCGTCACATGTTGGTTTTACGCCTCAGTAGCACTTGTCCATGGTCCATGTCTGATCCGTTGCTGTGCTAAATGAAATTAAAGTTTCATCACCTTGTCTTGTTAGAGAGAAAATATCACTTTCTCTCCCACTGCCTGCTATGGCTAGAGTGGGAGAGGTTACTACTTGGAGTCCTATCTGTTGAGACAGAAAACCCAATTCAGATGGGTTGAAGTGAGGAAGAAATGTATTGGAGCGGCTAACTAAGAAGCCCAAGGCTAGGCTGGCTCCAGGAGTAGCTGGCTTCCTGGCTCTGATGAGGTCATCAGGACTTGGTTTCTCTCCAGCCCGAGGCGTGCCTTCTGTTGGGTTGGCTTCACTTTCAGCCTCCAGGTGATGGGCCAACTCTTCCAGACTCCCTTTGTGGTGGAAAGATGGCTACAGCAGTTCCAGCCTCCACAGAAGAAATAAAGCAGGGGCAGCACATTTTGGTTTTTCCCCCATAAAGGTGCCAGATGAGAATCATTTTAGTCTTTGTGGACCACATGGCTTCTGTTACAACTATTACCTTTACTATTGTAGTGCAAAAGCCCCTATACTTGATACATAAATGAATGAGCAAAGCCATGTTTCAAAAAAACTTTATTTACAAAAATAGGTGATGGGCTAGATTTGTTGCAGGCTGTAGTTTGCTGACCTCTGGAACTATCAAGTTGTTTGGAAAATGGCTGCTGAGCCAGGCTCTCATTTTCTGCACATATGACTGAGTTCTCCTGACTACTCACAGTCGTCTATGTTCTATGGTTCAAAGTTTTTAATGAGCAAGTAGACCCCTTCATATTCTCTTCACCTTCTGCGCTGGATGTTGATGGCATTGGAGTTCTAGTAATGACAGAGTCACTGCATTTCTAGAAATCTGACTCCTGAATCTGTGTGGAGGGGAGCCACCCAAGGGCCAGGAGCACCTGCTTCAGACTGTTATGCAGGTAGGAAGTAAATTCCCATCGTGTCTGAATCATTGTACATTTTCATTCTATTTGCCACAACTGCTTGTCTACCTTAAGTGGCACAGAAATTGGTGTTGGAAAAAGGAGTGTGGGGCCAGCGTTGTGACGTAGCAGGTAAAGTCACTGCCTGCAACACTGGCATCTCACATGGGTACCAGTTCAAGTCCCTGCTGCCCTACTTCTGATCCAGGCTCAGCCAGGCTCAACCCTGGCTGTTGCAGCCACTTGGGGAGTGAACCAGCCTATGGAAGATCTCTCTTTGTCTCTCCCTCTCTCTTTGTAACACTCTGACTCTCAGATAAATAAATAAACCTAAAAAAAAAAAAAAAGGAAAGGAAAGAAAAGGAGTATGAATATATGAAATGCCCCAAATATGTGGCCTTAAGTGGCTATGGAAGGGGAGACAAGAAAACAGAGTAGGCTACAAAAATGATGACTCATCTTAGGCAGTGGCAAAATATTTCTTGAGACTATTGTCCACGATCATTCTGAAGTCTGAGCAAGTATCTGCTAAGCCTGTGGCTGTCAGGGAAGCCATGATAAAGAGACAGAAGTTAGCATGCGTTTGAGTTGAGTTCCCTGCTACCTACCACAAGTCTCTATTAGACAAAGTTTGATCCCTGGCAATAATTGACCAGTTTATAAGCAAAAATGAAAGGGAGCAGGAAGAGTTCCCAAATCTGAACAAGCCTGTTGATTATGGATCCCAAACTGGAGAGAAAATTTAGAAAAAAACCCATATAGAATTAGGGAGAAAATCCCGCTAACTGTTCTTAGATACGTAGCTCAACCCTTCCAGCTAACGCCAGTTACCAGCAGATAGAAGACCTTTCTGTCTCTCCCTTTTTCTCTGTTGCTAACTCTGCCTCTCAGGTAAATAGATTAATTTAATAACAAAAGAATGCAGCCTTTCCATTCAAACCTATTGTTAAGATAGCTTCTGGAGTAAAACTATGGAGACAAAGAAGCCCTCAGGATTAAGGGCTGGAATCTCTTTGAGGGGGGAATGATGTAGGCAGGCAGATAAGATAAATTCAATTAGATTTGTGAGCTGGAAGACCATGCCTTCACCACGCCCCTTTGTGATCTCACACCCCTACCTGACCCCACCTGTATGCCCACCTGCCAATCAGGCTATGTAACCACTTCCCTTTGGAAGTGTATAAAAGGCCTGGAGCACAGTGGGCCCCTCCCTTTTTTGTTGCCCTTGCTGCCCATGCCTTCAGGGCACGTGGCCTTCAGGCTTCCTGCTCCCTGTTTTCCTGCCCGCATGCTTGCTGTAGTGCTTGCTCCTGGCCTGCTCTCTGCTTGGTATGGACCCAACTTCCCAACTTAATTTCTAGACTCTTTTTTCTCCCCTACATAAAGCCCTCACTCTCCTATGCATTTCTGTCACCGAATAAAATAGTTAAAACTTAAAAAAAAAAAAGGTAAACAATTTAGGCTTTGGAACTAGATCTAGGAAGAACTTTGGGTGTGGTCACTAGCACCCATCATTTATAGGAAGCAAATGAATGGGAGTCTTACTGTTTTTGAGAAAATTGTGTTACCAAAAAAAAAAAAAATCACGAACTTGGATGAAATAACCTTTAATTTCTTAAACCTTATCCTTTGGTCCTAAATTTGCGTGATTAGGAAGTGAATGGGCTATAAAGTCTGTACAGTCTATTTCAGGAGAGCACTCTTGAAGTGATGAAAAAGCAACAAGGACAAGGAGGGTAAGTAGGAATCTTAAAGGCAAATAGGCAAGGAATTTCTTCCAGAGAGCAGATTAATGGACTAAGCAAGGAACTAAAACTTTCGCACATTGCCTACCCAGCAGGATTCCATCATACTATTCACTAAGGACTGTGTTTTTCCCATTCTTCCTTTTTTTTTTTCTTTCTGAATGAGAGTTGACTGCAGTTTTCAAACTCCTGTTCCACCATGGTAGAGTGGATGCATGTTAGAAAAAAAAAAGAGACAATGTAATGCATGTTCTTTCTTTCTTTCTTTCTTTCTTTCTTTCTTTCTTTCTTTCTTTCTTTCTTTCTTTCTGACAGTGAGAGAGACAGAGAGAAAGGTCTTCCTTTTTCTGTTGGTTCACCCTCCAATGGCCACCGCGGCCGGCTCACTGCGGCCGGCACACCGCACTGATCCGAAGGCAGGAGCCAGGTACTTCTCCTGGTCTCCCATGGGGTGCAGGGCCCAAGCACTTGGGCCATCCTCCACTGCACTCCCTGGCCACAGCAGAGAGCTGGCCTGGAAGAGGGGCCAGAATCCGGCATCCCGACCAGGACTAGAACCCGGTGTGCCAGCGCCGCAAGGCAGAGGATTAGCCTAGTGAGCCGCGGCGCCAGCCAATAGTTTCTTATTAAAAATCCAGTTCCTCTTCTTCCGGAACACCTGGTTGGACTGTGGTACAGGCAGTTACATGAGTGAGTACTTGCAACAGACTGCGAGGGAGGGGATGTGGGCTACTTCCAGGCAGAAGCTGCTTTGTCTCCTCCTCGCTCTCATTTTTCTGCTGTTGGGCGGGTCTGGATAATGATGAGGCCCCAGATCCTGGGGGATGGGGTAGCCCCACGCCGCCGGGAGCCTGGACTCTGAATCATGCAGTGGAGGAGAGCTGTCTTCAGACTGTTTATTGGGTGAGCAAAAAATAAACTTCTATTGTTTTTAATCAATTAGAAATTTTGTGTCCTTGTTCCCACAGCAGCATCTTCTTAATTAATTCAAGAACAACTTGGTTTCTCTGTGTGACTACTTAACCCTTTCTCTCTCTGTAGGCCGGCTTTCATTGCTCTTCTGCATGTAACCCAGATGTTAGCTGGAGCTTCCGTTTTCCTAGAGCTCTGTCCTGTGGAAACTCAAGCCTCTCCCAAGATGTCTCTGAATTTCCAACAAAGCTTTTTCTTTTTCTTTTCTTTCTTTCTTTCTTTCTTTTTTTTTTTTTTTTTTTTTTTTGACAGGCAGAGTGGACGGTGAGAGAGAGACAGAGAGAAAGGTCTTCCTTTGCCGTTGGTTCACCCTCCAATGGCCGCCACGGCTGGCGTGCTGCGGTCGGCGCACCGGCTGATCCGATGGTAGGAGCCAGGTGCTTCTCCTGGTCTCCCATGGGGTGCAGGGCCCAAGCACTTGGGCCATCCTCCACTGCACTCCCTGGCCACAGCAGAGAGCTGGCCTGGAAGAGGGGCAACTGGGACAGAATCCGGCGCCCTGACTGGGACTAGAACCTGGTGTGCCGGCGCCGCAAGGCGGAGGATTAGCCTACTGAGCCACGGCGCTGGCCCAGCAGAGCTTTTTCTAAGAATTCTCTCCCCTTGGGCCGGCGCCGTGGCTCACTAGGCTAATCCTCCGCCTTGCGGCGCCGGCACACCGGGTTCTAGTCCCGGTAGGGGCGCCGGATTCTATCCCGGTTGCCCTTCTTCCAGGCCAGCTCTCTGCTGTGGCCAGGGAGTGCAGTGGAGGATGGCCCAAGTGCTTGGGCCCTGCACCCCATGGGAGACCAGGAGAAGTACCTGGCTCCTGCCATCGGATCAGCAAGTGCGGTGCACCGGCCGCAGTGCGCCAGCCGCGGCGGCCATTGGAGAGTGAACCAACGGCACAGGAAGACCTTTCTCTCTGTCTCTCTCTCTCACTGTCCACTCTGCCTGTCAAAAAAAAAAAAAAAGAATTCTCTCCCCTTGACGTCTTCAACTTACATTGTCTCTGTTATTTGCCACAAAGACTAAACATGAAACTCAGTCCCCCCCCCCTTTTTTTGAGTTACACATGCACTTCTCATTCACTCAAATTATTCATGAAAATCAGAGATTATACTGAAAAATTGGTGAGAAAGAAATGAAGAGCTTATAACCACAGTAACATACACCTCAAATAAAACAGTAGATGTCACCAATCTTAAATCACTCATTACTGGTGAGTGTCTCTGGCCCTTCACGTCACTTAGTCCTTCTTGTTTCCTCAATTTTCACTTCTCTCCCTCTCCCTCTCCCATCTCTACCATTTTTCTTTTCCCTTTAACTTGTACCAAGAGGTAGACAAAAGCCTTGGATATTACGGACAGATTAATAAGTTGGTGCCCTGAGATGACTTATAATCTGCCTTCCAAGGAAGGAAGGTGGAATCCTGCAGTGGGGTGTATGGGGGAAAAATAAAGGTGGAAAACCATACTCAGCCTTTACTCCATCATCCTGAGCAATTCATCCCGGACCCCAGATATGTACACCTTACCTAGTAAAACAGAAGAACTGTGCTGGGGTCTGACGCCGCACTAGAGATGCCTCTTGTGACACCAGCATCTCATTTCAGAGTGCCTGGGTTCAAGTCCCAGCCTCACTCCCAATTCAAGTTTCCTACTAATGTGCACCCTGGGAGGCAGCAGATGTCAGCTAAGTACTTGGGTTCCTGCCAGCCACATGGCAGACCCCAGCTGAGTTACCAGTTCTTGGCTTTGGCCTGGCCCAATCCTAGCTGTTGCAGGCATTTGGAGAATAAATTAGTGGACAGGAGATCTCTCTCTCTCTCTCTCTCTCTCTCTCTCTCTCTATGCTTGCCTCCTCTATCTTTGTGTCTTTGTGCCTTTCAAGTGAAATGAAACAAAACAAAGCTGTGTTGATCTCAATTCATCCTCCTTATAAGTTGTTTAAAATCAATTATTTGTTTTTATGCAGCCATGTCTCTGAAGACTCACCCCAACCCCGTGTGGCTTATCAAAGTATCACAAATGCATCCTTAATTTTCTGAGTTCTGGTAACTTCAAATTTCCCTTTTTTCAGTGACATTTTTATTACTCTAATGTGGATTCACTATTTCTTGTAGCCTGGCATTCCAGATACTGGCATATCAACTTCCTCTAAAATAATATTACGCAAATCTCCCTCTCTTTCCATTTTAGGAGAAAAGACAAGAAAATTTTTCCTTGTCTCAAGCAGAGTACCTTCCCTTCCCCTCTGAGGTCTTGGTACGAACTTAACGTTTGTTATTGAAGAATTGCCTGAGCAGATTATCAAGGCACTTTCTCATACAAAGGTAATTCTTTGTTTAAAATGAATCTGGTTCCAGCTGGTAATAGCATTAGAACTTTCTGAAACCTTGTTTTACATGCATATGACAGCATAAGATCAATTTAGCCCTGAAGTAAGTTGACTCCAGCTCCCGCAGAGTTGTTATGTACGGTTGTACAATAAACAACTTTAGGAGGCACATTTTAAGTTATAGTCTATGTGATTGGTAATCCCTGAAGTTGTGTAGACCACAACCTGTATGTTCTGGATTCAGTAGAACTTGCCTCCCCAAACACATGCAGACATTTACACCCCAAAGCCTTATGTTAATGATTGATGGAGTAATGCTAATGGTTGATGGATTAGGGTGGAGATTTGATCTAATTATGGAAGCCAGGAAGAGAGACTGGTAGGAGACTATTAGGTCACTGGGGCTTTGCCCCTAGAACGTAGTGCTTGCCACAGTGTCAGTCATTTAAGCTGAGTTTGGTCAGGCTCCTCTCTGCTTCCTGGATCATTGTGTGACTGTTCCTTCACACTTGCTGTGCCATTGCCAGCTTCCACCAGATGTCAGACTAATGGGACCACCCGATCTTGGACTGTGAACCTCCAAACTGTAAGCCAAAATAAACACTTTCCTTCCCAAGAAGCTCTTCTCAGGTATTTTGATGTAACAAGAAGTAGACTAACGCCCTGTGCAACCATGTTATGGCTCTGTCTCAAGGACCATCCACCATCCAACTATCATCTCAAGGGTCTAATTCCACACTCTTAGGAGAAAACATTTGGTTATTCAAAAAAAATTTGAATCTGGTGTTCACACTCCTATCCAATCAGATATGCTCAGATTGGAAACATCATGTTCTAGACACATGAATCCAGAGGCTCACTCTTTTTGGGGAGTTCATCTGGGGGGAGTAGGAAATAGTTTTCAGAGAAGTGGTTGTCCAGGAAGGGTGGACATCTCAAAATAAAACACTGTTAAGAGCCAGTGATGGAAAAAACTCATAAACAAAAGAAGTATAGAATATAATCTAAGCCAATGTTTTTCAAACTGTGAGCTATGACTCATTAATGGGCTATAAAATCAATTTAATGAGTCATGCTTTTAAAAAACATAAAAATGAAATGAAAGAGATTAGGAATTAACAGCATACAAACCACCTGGTATAATTGTGTTTTAATTATTTATGTGTTCTTGCGGGTTTGGTATATAAAGTGTGGATTGTGATACAAAAAGATAAAAAACCAAAGCAAGGCCCAAATCAAACAGCACTCCTCGCTCCTATCTGTGGCTCACAGGTTTGATGCAGGCACCCTGGGACCATTTGTCTGGGAGAGGCTCTTTATATCTCCACTTTCTCCCCTGTAAAATGACTGATGTTACCAACCGTGAGAGTTGCTGTGAGGCTTATAATAGCTGAAGCAGAGCCAGCTAAATGCTGTGGTGCCAGCTAAACAGTGACTTGGGACACTCTCATTCCATACCAGGGTATTGCTTTAAGTCTAGGTTACTTCAACTTCTGAATCAGCCCCCTGCTAATGTGCCTGGGAAAGTAGTGGATGATAGCCCAAGTGCTTGGGTCTCTGCCACCCATGTGACACTCTATCACTCTGCCTTTCAAATAAATAAATTAATATTTAAAAAAAGCAGTTGTGTGAAAGCTTATAACTGATATGAAAGCACCAATTGCATCTGAGTATAAGCATATTACATTTTGTATATGTACTGCACTTTATAAAATTTCACATACAAATGTACTTCAAAATGTTCATGGAAAGTAGAATTAAAACATAATTTATTTTGATGTGAAAAGTTGTAATCCATGTATCTTTTTTCTTTTTTTGTAAAAAAAAATAAAGGTTTATTTGTTTGAAAGGCAGAGTTACAGGGAGGCAGAGGCAAAGAGAGAAAGAGAGGTCTTCCATTCGCTGGTTCACTCCCCAGATGGCTACAATGGCCAGGACTGCACCAATCTGAAGGCAGGAACCAAGAGCTTCTTCTGGGTTTCCCATGTGAGTGCAGGGGCCCAAGGACTTGGGCCATCTTCTACTGCTTTTCCAGGTCATAGCAGAGAACTGGATCAGAAGTGGAGCAGCCAGGACTTGAACCAGCAGCTACATGGGATGCCAGTACTACAGGTGGTAGCTTTACCACTATGCCACAGTGCCAGCCCCTCATTTTTTCATAATTCATATTTTTGATGAACTTTTCAGATATCTACTTTATAAATGGATTTCACATTTTTGGCACCAAAGCAACTAATTTGTTACAAGACTTACTAATTCAATTGAAAGAGTGACAGAGAGACAGAGAGATAGATTGATGTATCGATCAGAGAGAGAGAGAGAGAGACCTGCCATCGCTGGTTCACTCCCCAAATGGCCACAATGGACAGGGCTGGGCCAGGCTGAGGAAAAGAGGTAACCAGTCCATGTGGTCTCCCATATGGGTGGCAGGGTCCAAGTACCTGAGCCATCATCCACTCCCTTCCCAGGTGCTTTAGCAGGGAGCTGGATCAGAAGTGGAGCAGCTGGGACTCAAATGGGCATGCGTATGGGACATCACAGGGCAGTGGCTCAACCTGCTGAGTCACAATGCCAGCCCCAATAACTATCTTTCAATTCCGTTTTCCATGAACATTTTGAAGTACTCTTGTAAGTAGAAAACAAGCAAATCTTACAATGCAAGACTTCCCCTGGCAAAGGAAGGCAACCATTTGTGTTGGCCAGCTGGCAAGAGAATAGTGAAGTTTATAGTTAGCTGGGCTTTCAAGTGGAAAATTTTGCAATTTGGGACAAATTTTTAATTTTAGAGTTGCTTGCATGACCTTCAAAATTTTTCAGAAAATGAGTCTTCATTATTTTTTTCTATTAAACTCTTTGAAATACTTGTATACTCAAATCAAATTTGCTTAAAATGCCCTGGGACTGAACTCCATGGTTTGAGAGAGAAGAAAATGAGAAACGTACTCTGTGATGCAAAATGGGTGATTTTTAAAATGATTCTGTACAGCTGCATGTTCCAGCTTCGCATTAGCCTCTGGATCTGCTCAGCATTCACTCTGGAATTTTTAAAATGTCCTAACAGTGTGCTTTCAAAATAATATGTTCATGTGCCCCCATCCCCCACGTGTGTAATATTGTCAGGATGTTTTATCTGCTGCCATAGATCTTGCACATGACGAATCCATTTCCCCAAACAAACCATCACATATGTCCACACTGTCTATAAATTGTGAAGCTTGACACCTAAGCGGTTACCCCGCGCCTTTCGGATTGGCCTGGCTGGGCATAATTGGAGGGTGATGTTTTGAAAGAATGAAGCGGATGTCACTCTTTCCTTCCTGATGGGTGTCCTCTGGAGAGAGTGATGTCAGGAACGTGGAAGACGTACCCCTGCTGGAGTTGGCCCGGATACTTTCCCCAGGGCACGGGAGACGAGGCAGGCCTGATCTGCAAGCATCTGCGTCTCCAGGGGTGATAACAAGGTCACCCTGTACTTAGGTTTGGCTTTGCAATAATACATCTGGCATCTATAGACTTTCTTTCTTTCCAGAGTGTTTTCCTATTTATGATCTCATTTTGCCCTCATAGGAGGAGGAAAGGGAACTGGTTAGGACAAGCAAACCTGGGTTTCCTTTCCTCTGTGGCTGGCCACATCACAGCTACTTTCTGCAGGCTCAGTTTCTTCATCTGTAAAATGGTATAACAATTGCTGTTGGCTTCTCAGGGTTGTTTGTAAAGGCGCAAATGTGCCTGTGTGTTGGGGAAGCACCTTGGGGACTATAAAAACTACAGAAGGAAATGTGCTTTGGTGATAAAAGCCGTTGACACACTCTGGAAGTTGTAGAGCTGGAAGCAGTTTAAGAAATAGCACGATAAAGAGATTTTTTATTTATTTATTTATTTTTTTTGACAGGCAGAGCGGCCGGCACACCGCGCTGATCCGATGGCAGGAGCCAGGAGCCAGGTGCTTTCCTGGTCTCCCATGGGGTGCAGGGCCCAAGCACCTGGGCCATCCTCCACTGCACTCCCTGGCCACAGCAGAGAGCTGGCCTGGAAGAGGGGCAACTGGGACAGAATCCGGCGCCCCAACCGGGACTAGAACCCGGTGTGCTGACGCCGCTAGGCGGAGGATTAGCCTAGTGAGCCGCGGCGCCGGCCCAATTTTTTTTAACCTTTATTTGTGAAGACTACAGATGAATCATGAGCAAGAACAGGACACATTACTTTGGTAGACTCTGACTTTTAAAAAAATATTGATTTATTTGAAAGGCAGGGTTACAGAGAGAGAGAGAAATCTTCATCCACTGGTTCACTCCCCAAATGGCTGCAATGGCCAGGACTAGGCCAGGCTGAAGTTAGGAGCCAGGAGCGTCTTCTGGGTCTCCCACACAGGTGCAAGGGCCCAAGGGCTTGGGCCATCCTCTTCTGCTTTCCCAGGCACATAGTAGAGAGCTGGGTAGAAGTGGTACAGCTGGGACTCGAATTGGCACCCATATGGCATAGCTGGTGCTGCAGGCCATGGCTTTAATCTGCTGCGCCACAGTGCCAGTCCCAGACTCTTTTTTTTTTTTTTTGACAGGCAGAGTGGACAGTGAGAGAGAGAGACAGAGAGAAAGGTCTTCCTGTGCCGTTGGTTCACCCCACAATGGCCATCGTGGCCGGCGCGCTGTGGCCGGCACACCGCGCTGATCCGATGGCAGGAGCCAGGTACTTCTCCTGGTCTCCCATGGGGTTCAGGGCCCAAGCACTTGGGCCATCCTCCACTGCACTCCCTGGCCACAGCAGAGAGCTGGCCTGGAAGAGGGGCAACCGGGACAGAATCCAGCGCCCCGACTGGTACTAGAACCCGGTGTGCCGGCGCCGCAAGGCGGAGGATTAGCCTAGTGAGCCGCGGCGCCGGCCACTGACTTTTTTTATCTCTCATTTCAAGAGACACCTAAATGGTAGCTCAAATGATACTGTGGCATGGGCTTTTTCTCTATCTGACTTACTCAAGAAAATTATATCAGAATGCAAATAAGAGAGATATTATTTGAAGGGTTATAATGGTAACCTTAATTTCACTCTAATTTATTTTCCAAAAATGAAAACTTGGGATTCTCATATGTGAACAAAACCATGACCTAAATTGACTTAGACAAAAGATTAAGTCTATTGATTTGTGAAATAACTATTCAGGAGTGGATGCTTCAGTCGTGGGTCAGACGGCTTCACCGGGACCTGGACTAGTGCTCCGTCTGTACTTTCTGCTTTGCTTTGTGTGGGCTCTTCCTGAGCATCGACGCTGCCGACCCTCTTAGGCTCTTATCCTCAAACATTAGCCTTCTCCGTGAAAAGAGCTTTCTTTTCTCAATAGCTTCAGTGTAATTCTAGAATTAAGACTCACTGGACTAACTTGGAATCACTGCCCCTTGTCCCTGGGTCAGCCACTACATTAAGAGCAGTGGGATATTCTGATGGGCCATGGACTCTCTCTCTCTCTCTCCACTCCCCCTTCCTTCTCTCACTTTCTCAGCGTAGGGGATAGAGGTAGGATGAGCCACATGTGAACCATCTGCATTAAGATGGCTGTTTGTTATTTCCCAAAGGGAAACTGAGGGGCTCTTACTAGAAAATAGATGAATGAAGCTGAATGGGATAATACCAACAGACAGATAGATGTTCATCGTAGTAAACCTGATACTTCAACAGTTACTAGTGAGCAATTACTTATAACATCATGTCCCCAACGCGTTGTGATTTACCACTGTGTTAGAACTGTGTGTTTGAAAACCTCTGATCTAGCTCAAACCTCTCATTTCAAAGATGTTAGTGTTTGATAAGTTTGTTGGGGGCTTAATGAGTTGAAGTTTTGCTTGTGATTTTGACACCTCATTAAAGATTTTCTCAGTGTAAGAAACCAACTGAAGGGTGCTTCTCACAGTCCCCAGGGAGCAAGTGACCCTCCAAAGGTAAGGGACTTCCTTTACATATATGGCATTTGTACTTCTTGCTGAAAAAAAAAAAAAAACCTTATAGAACTTAACACCTTTGATTTCCCAACTTTTTCACTGATCCAGAGGTCTAGAAGGAAGAGTAAGTTTTAGCACGTAAGTTTAGAGGCAAGGAAACTGAAATAAAGAATCAAGCTAAGGAGGCTGGCAGCATGGCCAGCTACCTCCTTGGTGAGATTTGAGGTACTTCATGAGGGCTACTATTACTTTAAACCTCTACAACTGGCAGTCTCGGGGCTGGCGTGGTGGCCTAGTGGATAAAGGGGTAAAGCAGCCGCCTGCAACACCAGCATCCCATATGGGTGCTGTTTTGTGTCCCAGCTGCTCCACTTCCGGTCCAGTTCCCTGCTGATGGTCTGGAAAGGCAAGGAGGATGGTTCAAGTGTCTGGGCCCCTGCTACCCACGTGGGAGACCTGGAGGAACTCCTGGCTTCAGCCTGGTTCAGTCCTGGCTGTTGTGGCCATCTGGGAGATGAACCAGTGAATAAAAGATCTCTCTCTCTCTCTCTCCCTTCCTCTCTCTCTAATTCTGACTTTCAAACAAATAAATAGATCTTTGCAAACAAAGCAAAACAAAAAGTCTTTGCCATGGAAGTGGTATCTTAATAAAATGAGTGAGCTTAACTGGATCAAAGCATCACTTTAATTGGAGGTCAACATGTAATTAATGCATTTTTAGGAGTCAGTTCCATACAACAAATAGTTATTGAGGACATAACTTTAGCTGTATTATCTAGGGTGCTTTTTGTGGCAAGTAATAGCAAACCTGGTTCCAAAAGTCTTGATATATAAAAGGAGTTTGTTGACAATCCCAGCAGTGTGGCATTCAGGTGAGGCTTGATTCAGAAGTCCAACGTTGCCACCAGAGACCCAGTTATTATTTACTTTTTCTTTCTTCCTCCTCTTCCAGGGTGTCCGCTTCATCACAAGATTTGTCGTCTCATGATCCCAGGGTAGCTGCCAGAATGTTCTGAGAGCTACACGCTTCCTTATTTATATACAGAATGAGAAAGCAGCTGTGCAAGGAGTTTATGAGCATGAAGTAGTTCTTTACCAGGGAGCATTTCCTCACATCCCCTTAGTCCAAACTGTGCCACGTACTACTTATTCCTAACGAAACTTGGTGGCTAGGAGCGGGGGTGGGGGGGGTGGGGGGGTGTAGGCTGATAACCAAGGACCATGCCTGCTACCCACTTCCTCAGAGGCAAATGGGCTGTAGGTGGGGGGAGGGGTGGTCTTGCCTGAATGTATATCCACACACTGTGAAAAGGAAGAAAGGGAGTAAATGCACAAATGCATTCATTAGGAGCTGGGCTTTTGTTATTGAATAAGGCGGCACTCAATATTTATAAATACAAGAGAATCAGTCCCAAGGTGAGAAGATAGAATCATTTTCACTTTGGTCATATTGAATCTGAAGTATTTGCAAAATATTTGGGCAAGGCTGTTGAGGGGAAAGTCAAAAATAATGACTCTGGTTTCAGAAATCCAGGCTTGGACTGGAGACACACATCCGGTAGCTAAAACAATGACAGAGGAGGTGAGAAGGTGCATGGTGAGCACTCTCCCCACCCCGGGTGGGGGCGTGGATAGTGCAAGGCAAGTGAGAAGGAGCCTTGACCTCTACAAAGGTGAGCAACAGAGGGGGACAAGGGGCTCAGAAAAGGGAAGAGAACACTGCGTCATGGAGACCAGGGGAGGAGAGGGGTCCTGCAGGAGAGAGGAGTTGTCTCAGAGGCGTCCCTGTGTTCAGTTTGGCAACTGAGGGGTCACTGGTGGCCAGTGAGGAGAGCAGGAAGCGATGGCCCCGCAGTGACAGGGAACCACATCCTGCAGCGCCCTATCTCTCAAGGCCAAGGGACAAGGAGGAGAGGGCAGGACTCAGAGAAGAAAAGGAAGGCTAACTTTTTCCCCAAAGGGCTCCAAGGAGGCTAAGTCCTCTTTGTCCTAGACCATTTAACCTGATGATGCTCCTCTCCCTGGATGGGGCAGGGGCTGGTGTGGGCATGGGAGGTGCTGGCTATGACCTATTACTCATGTGGAGCACAGCATCAAGGTACCAGATACTTCTTCCTAGACAGGGTAAGGTGGATACGATTGCACAGTGTGCATCTGTAATGTGAACAGGTACGCAGGCACCTTCCTGCTCTGCCTTTCTGCCCTGAGCCAGCCAGGGGCATCTGGCAGCAGCATCTTGGGCCTTCTAGGTGATAGTAGCTGTCTCCATTACTCTGCACCTCCCACCTCAGCTTGCAGGAAGATACTAGGGCCCATTCAAACTCCATATAAGGAACTCCCAGCACAGTATTCGGGCTCTCCAAGGCCTCTCCCTTTCACTCCTATTTTCATCTTGCAGCGTGACTTTCATCTGTTCCAGAATCCATATTACACTTGTGTGAAGACCTGGATCTTAAACATTCTTTATTAGGCCTTAGCCCCTTTGTTTTCTTGTCTCAAGGGACCCATGAGCTTTCTCCTTTCTCTCTGTTGCTGACAGTGCCCCTACTGACCCCTTCCCTTACTGCCTGTCCCCATGGAAAACACCCTAGCCTGGTGGGCAGAGGCTGAGGAGGACAGGTATGACAGGGCCCATGTCGAAGGTGCCCCTCAGCCTGGATTCTTCTCTTTCACCCTGTGCTGTTGAGTCATTTCTTCAGAGTTCCAGGGAGGGCGTTTCTGCAGCATGGTCTGGGACAGCGAGAGTTCAGGGGTCCTCAGGACTGTTACAGTGAACCCCTCCACTGAGCCCCCCAGACCCCTGCTCCCTGAGGCCTGCTGCAGGGTTGGCATTTCTGCACTCCCTCTCAGGCCTCTACTCTGGGGCTCTGGACCATTTCTGACACATCGGAGGATTCCCGGGAATGGCTGGAAGGCCTCAGAGGAGTGTAAGTAATTGGCCAGGACTAAAGTCTGCCCTCATCCCAGCCCCAGGTGATGACTTCTGCAACAGGGGAGTTCTTAGCTTCTTCCTTGGAATCTGACTCCACCCCATACTTGGATGGCGAACATGAGTTACTTAAGGCTTCAAGGGCTCCAGGCTTTGTTTTCTCCCTCTGCCTATTTTGAGTCTGTAAATGATTTTAGCAGGAATTCATTGAGACAGGGCTTCTCCGTGCTCAGCATTGTGTACTGGTAGTGGGGCCTAGAGCCATACAAGTAGATTTTTTCCTATCTTTAAATCCCTTCTTCTCTTATGCTAATGGTGCAGCTCCAAAGACAAGACTAATGCATGTAGAATAATTAGAGAACCAATCAATTTTGAATTCAATTCTTGAAGGAAAAAGATCAAGGCAATATAAGGAATCAGGATAGTCTAAAATGGTGCAGATACCAGCCATATGCAGCTATTTAGATGTAAATTAAGTACAACTGCATGAAAGTAAAAATTCACTTGCTCAGTTGTACTAGGCATATTAGGTGATCGGTAGCCATGTGAGGCTAGGGACCACCCTATTGGACAGTATGAAATTAGCATTCACCCTATGAAAAAGTCCTGCTGGACAGTGTTGACCTAGAGTAACGAAGGCCAACTTCAAGGTATAGGTGTGGCTCCAGCTGGGACTGAAAGGATACTAGAATTACATAAAAGAGGGGAAGGGATTTCTAGGTGGGAAAAGCAGTGCTCAGTGGTTGGAATGAACATTGCATGTTCAGCCAACACCCAGGGGAGGGCTAGCTGGAGCAGAGCATTCTTTTTGAGGAAATGTGAGAGCCCTCATCACTCCAGTAGTGACAGGTAGAGAGAGTGGGGTGAAGAAGCCCACCCTCCTCCTCTCAGTTCTCAATGCCATGATACCAATTTTCACACTTACTTTATCCCATTGGGAGGAGAAATTTCTGGTTGCTCTTGGGGTAGTAGCAGGTTGGCATCCTAACTCTAGTTATCTATTCTCTCTGCAAACACTGCTAGGGATCTGCTCCTGTGACCGGTTAACCTTCCCCTGTCCCCAGGCTGGCCTTTGAACCTCCTTTGCTAACTGGGGAATGATGCAAAGCTCAGAAATCAGACCAGCCTGAGTACAAGCACTGGTTCTTCTAATCACCTGTCAAGTGCCCTCAGGTAAGCATTTTAACTCTTCCAAATCTCAGTTTACCCGTCTTCAAAACAGGGATAATAACAGTGCTGACCTCACATGGTAGTTATAAGGTTTTGATTAAGAAGAGTTGCCATAGTTCATGGCCAAATGACTATAAACTGTTCGCAATGCTGTTCCTTATTATCCTTAAGCTGTTTGCAGGCTCACTGTTGGTATTGTTCCTGCTTCCCTCTCATCTTAAAAAAAAATCTTCTGTTTTTTTTTTTTTTTTCTGTAATTGATTTAATCAACTTTGTGTTTGTTTTATGTTAAAAAAAAAAAGTTCCCTTCCCCATGATCTTAGAGAGAGTGTACTGTCTGTGCTTTCTTCTAAAAGCGTTTGAGTAAATTTTTTTAAAGTATTAACACAGAAAAATGCACAAGGTATGTGTACAACTCCCTGAATTTTCACTGTCAAGAAACATCTATGTAACCTGCCCCCAATCAAGAACGAATGTCTGGAAAGTCCCCCTGGAGTCTCCATTACTCACAACTTCCCTGGCCAGGGTGACCCCTACCTGACTCCCAGTGTCACATATTAGTCTATTGGTTTTGAACTTTATAAAGGTGGATTCAGCCAGCATATGCTCTTAGGGTGCTGTTTCTAAGATTCATTCAAGTTGTGCCTGAATTATCGTGTGTTGTTCATTCTCATGGCTTTATACTATTCAGTTGCATGAATATACCCCAATTTATTTATCCACTCTACTGTTTTTGGACATTTCGGTAATTTCCAATTTTTGACTACATAACAGTGCTACAATTGTAGGTGCCTTTTGGGGAATATTTGCGTGCTTCTGTTGGGTGTGTAGGCCTAGGAGAGGAAGAACTAGGAGAGGAAGTCATCAAATGTTACAGCAGGAAGAAAGGTGGGTACATCTGTCTACTCTAGTGCAGATAAGGGGTTATGGCCCTGTGTGGGCAAGGGCCTGAGGTCACCCAGCTCACATGTGGCAGAATCAGGTCTCCTGGGGGCCAGGAGTGTCTTACTACACCTCTGAGGGTGTGTCAGTTGTCAAACTCCATGGCAACCCCCCTCCCCCTCTCATCCCCCCAACCCTCCCCCTCTCATCCCCCATCTGGAGCGCAGCTGCTGTTTTCAGGCATCTGCAGCCTCTTACTTACATTTATTTACTTATCTGAATTTTCTTAAACTTTTAAATTAGTCTTTTTTAAAAATTTTTTAATTTATTTATTTTTGACAGGCAGAGTTAGAAAGAGACAGAGAGAAAGGTCTTCCTTCCATTGGTTCACCGCCCAAATGCCACTGTGGCCAGGAGCCAGGTGCTTCTTCTGGTCTCCCATGTGGGTCAGGGCCCAAGCACTTGGGCCATCCACCACTGCACTCCTGGGCCATAGCAGAGAGTTGGACAGGAAGAGGAGCAACCGGGACAGAATCCGGCGCCCCAACCGGGACTAGAACCTTGGGTGCTGGCACTGCAGGTGGAGGATTAGTCAAGTGAGCTGTGGCGCCAGCCTTTAACTAGTCTTTAACAGATTCCATATAGTTCATAGGTAGCAATTCTAAGAATATAATGGTATTCCCTGCCTCTATCCCTCCCTCCCTCCTTCCTCCTCCCATCCTTCCTCTCCCTTTCTTTCTTTTTTTAGTTTTTGAGACAACATATTTTAAACTTACATTACAGTGAAAAGCTTAATGCTTCACCAAACAAGAAAAAAAGAAGATGTTTAACAAGTAAGAAGCAAAAAGACCCAGTTTAGTGGGAATATAGAAAATGGATATAAACAATAATTGAGTGCAAAAATGACCATTTCATCCATACACAGTAAATTTTAAAGTAATCACAGATTATTAAAACTATAGTAGTCTAACATTCTTAACCACTGGTTTGACAAAGATATAAAACAAAGTTTAACAAAACTATATTTGCAACAATACTGATACACACAGGCATTTCTTATTTTTTTAATTTTAGCTCCTGCATATAAGGGAGAATGTATGGTATTTGTCTTTCCTTGTTCAGCTTATTTCACTCAACTTGATGTACTTCAGTTGCATCTGTTTTGATGCAAATGGTAGAATTTTGTTCTCCTTTATAGATGAATAATATTCCATTGTGTATATACACCACATTTCTTTATCCATACATCTGATGATGTGTTGAGGTGGATTCGTTCTGAGAGGAGGAGTGTGGTGGGGGCAAGAGGTGCAGAGTCACCACACAGACCCTGGGAGTCGGGTGAAAGCAGGCCAGAGGCGAGCAGTTTGCAGACTCATTTATATCAGTTGGTACAGCAGCTTATATAGCTAAGGCAGCCAATGTGGTCAAGGGGTGGTCTATGCCTTAACCAATCACAGCCTGTTGCCAGGCAATTTCTGAAGCCATCCAATCACAGCCTGTTGCCAGGCAGGCTCCATTACCAGCGGCCATCTTGGCATGACCTTCTCATTCCACCACATTTCCCCCTTTTCGTTTATTTTTGAGCAACAGGAGGCATGATTCTTGGCCATACCATTGTTGAACCTGTTTCCATATGGTCTTTGTATACTGCTGTGCCTGTCTTAGGTTGTCCCCCAGGGGATCTTACCTGTTGTTGACTAACCAGCATTCAAAATGGGAGACCACAGGAGTGCTTGCTCAGATGGGGTAGGAATGAGGAACAATGGTAATCAGGAATGGCATGACCATATGCAGGCTGTGGGCCATTTGAGTGGCTGACCAGAGCTAGTGGGGTATAAAACAATAATGGATGTGACTACGGGCAGTTTCTCAGGGTAGGATGATAGGGCAGGTACGTCTGCTAACAGGGCAGACTTTCAGTCTTGGTCAGCTGGTTCTGGTTGACTGTCAGTTGCAGGCTTGATGTTTCTGGCTGGTACCCAAATGGGCTGTCTCGCATTCTCTGGAAAGACACAAGCATATCCTTGGCCCTCAGTTAGCAGAAGCCTTTTTACAGGCATTGGAATCCAGGGCCTGAATTCTGTGTCCACTTTGACATTAACAGCAAAATACGGGTGGGATGGGGTCTAGCGGCTGCCCTGAGAGCCTGGGGTACCCGAGGACTGCCACAAATGTGGGGATCCTCACTGGGTGCAGATGGGATGATCTTGCATGGGTTATTACCTCGAGGTCATCTAAGTTCATCCCACGGGTCTCAGTCATGTTGGGCGCCAGATGTTGAGGTGGATTCGTTCTGAGAGGAGGAGCGTGGTGGGGGCAAGAGGCACAGAGTCACCACACAGACCCCGGGAGCCGGGTGAAAGCAAGCCAGAGGCAAGCAGCCTGCAGACTCATTTATTTCAGTTGGTACAGCAGCTTATATAGCCAAGGCAGCCAATCTGGTCAAGGGGCGGTCTATGCCCTAACCAATCACAGCCTGTTTCCGAAGCCATCCAATCACAGCCTGTTGTCAGTCAGGCTCTGTTGTCATGTGGTTTCTGAAGCCATCCAATCAGCCTGTTGCCAGGCAGGCTCCATTACCAGTGGCCATCTTGGCATGGCCTTCTCATTCCACCACAATGATGGACACCTTGGTTGATTCCAATTTTGGCTATAGTGATCAGTGCTACTATAAACATGGTGGTTTGATACAACATGTTCATGTCTTTTGGGTATATACCCAGAAGTGAGATTGCTGGATTGTATGATTGTATGGCAAGTCTATTTCTAGTATTTTAAGAATTCTCCATGGTGTTTTCCACAGTGATTACACTAATTTACATTCCTATCAACAGTGTACAAGTGTTCCTCTTTCTCTATCCTCACCAGCATTTATAACTTCCCATTTTTTGGATTTTAGCCATTCTGGCAGGGGTGGAGTGATATCTCATTGTGATTTTGATTTGCGTTTCTCAGATGGCTAGTAATATTGAGCATTTTCTCATGTACTTTTTGGCCATTTCTGTTTCTTCTTTTGAGAATTGTCTTTGGAGATCTTTTGCCCATTTCTGAACTGGATTGGGAGGAAGCTGCGGTTATAAGAGAAACAGAAGTTTTTGAGCTGTTGAGTTTTTAAAGTTGCTGATATATTCTGGATATTAATCCTTTGTCAAATAAGTAGCTTACAAATATTTTTTCCCATTCTGTTGGATGTCTCCTCACTTGATTGATTGTTTCCTTTGCCACACAGAAGCTTCTGAGTTTGATATAATCCCATTTGCTTTAGTTTTGCTTTTGTTTCCTGTGCTTTGGGGTTCTTGTCTAAGAAGTTGTCTCCTACACCAATGTCTTAGAATGTTTTCTCTATATTTTCTTCCAGTAACTTCATAGTCTGGTCTTAAATTTAGGTCTTTGATTCATCTTGAGTTGATTTTTGTATGAGATGTATGGATCTAATTCCATTCTTCTACACACAAATAAAAAGCTTTGCCAGCCCTATTTGTTGAAGTGATTATTCTTACTCCACTGTATGATCTGAGCACTTTTGTCAGAAATCAGTTTGTGATATGTACTTGGACTAATTTTTGGGCTCTCTCTCCTGTTCCATTCATCTATGTGTTGGTTTTTATGCCGGTACCATGCTGTTTTAATTACTGTAGCATTGTAGTATGCCTTGAAGTCAGATATTGTGATATCATCAGCTTGATTTTTCTTGTTCAGGATCACCGTGGCCATTCTGGGTCTTTCGTGATTCCATATAAATCTTAGAGTTGCTTTTTCTAAATTTGTAAAGAATGTCACTGGTATTTTCATAGGAATTGCACTCTGTCTGTAGATTGCTTTAGGTAGCATAGACATTTTAATGATATTGATTCTTCTAATCCATGAGCAAGGAATATCATTCTATTTTTTGTGTCCTTGATTTTCAAGTTTCCTCTTTTTTAGTGAAACTTTCTCTAAAAGCCCAGAACACCTCTGTGTCTTTTGGTTTAAGCTTCTACTCTAACTCTTGTCTTCCATGGACTTTTCTGAACTCCTCTTTGCCTCATTTTCATATTCAGCATAGCTTCTCTAGGGGTTGCTAGTACTGTGTGGAGTGTGGTATGGACCTGGTGGATAATCCAGAGTAATAAGGGACCTCC